AATACTAACCTCTAATTAGCCTAATTAATTAGTTAAGTCCTTAAATAAAATCCAGGATGTTACACAACTCATCATTGTTCATTCTTATCATAGCTACAAAATCCTCAATCATCAATACCATCATGCTTGTATATTCATATTATTAAGCAATTAATAAACAACTCTTAATACTGGACAATAATTATCTAATAGAATTTAGCTCTCAATTACCTCAACTCTTAGGTTACCACCTTAAGAATACAACTTAGATTCCAACAAAGCTTCCAATAATCCCAAACACTTCAAAAGTAGTAAATCTATAAATAAGGATTAACAAACATCATTAATGACTAATTGTCACTAATTAGCCCTTAATCACAATTAAGGCCTAAGACCCCCGTTAACAATATTAGCTATAAATAACCACATTTATAGCTTCCATCAACTTATTAACCCTAATTAAGCATAAGAAACACTGTTAACTCCCTTCGTTAGTTTAATCTATGCTAATTAGCATTAGGGTTAGCTTTAAACCATGATTAATGGCATTGAATGCCACCAACAACCAAAACTCAAGACTAGAAACATTTAATAACACACATAGACTCCATTGAAGTCATTATAATAGGTAGAGAAATCATCTAAGAATTCAAACAACAATTGTACATTCCATAAACTTATAAGAAAATGCATAAGAGGGAGAGAAGATGAAGAAGGAAGACCTAACCAAAGCTTAGTTAGCCTAAGATCACCCTCAATATGTGTAGCTAGTAAACCATAGCAAAGAACTCTTATTCCCTCTCAGCCTCTCTCTCAAAACTCCCTTCCTTTTTGTTCCCTTATATGCTAATTTGCAAATTTAAAATTTTCTTTGTCTGCTACAATACATAACACCATCTATTGTGGTGGATGGCCTAAAACAACAACCTTAACTTAAGCCCAACAATTTGGGCCCAATGGCTCCTCTAATTCCCTTCTAAGCCTTATATAAGGTTGAATAAACCCAAGGCCACCCAATTACTTAAACTAGAACCTAGATTAATTAATTTAATCCCTGATTAATTTTAATTAATCATGTTATGAATTTCAAGATGTTACATAGCTCATCGATTCTGATGCTATGTGCAATATTGTCATTGTGAAGATTTGCTTGTTGCTAACTTGGGATGATCTTTGATTTTCTCTTATTTATTTGTTGGATTAAATTGTTATTTATGAGTTTGATGAGTTCTAATCATCTTAGCATCAACTTGATGGTGAGTTTGATATTTTGCTTCTAATTAGTTCTAATCACCCTAGCAACATAGAGTCATGTTTCATCTTACTTATTCCATTTAGCTTGCCACTTGTGAATTTTTTTGGTCAAATTGAGTGATTTAACGGTCAAGGTGGATGATGTGACATCCTAAAATTTTAATTCGAGAAACTAATTACTAATTAAATGGTAAATTAATAATTTAAAGGATTAATTAAATAATCAAGATTTTGGATAGCAAGTTGGTGTTTTGACTCCTTAGGTTGTTGAATGAATAGGATGGAGGGAAAGAATGGCGTTCTAAAGTGAAGTGTGCAAGCACAGTGAGATTTTCTTCACTGTGCCATACATCGCGGCATGCGCTTCATGCACCATAGTGCATGGCATAGAAGTTGCTTAAGTCATATGTGACTTTGCTTGTGGAATAAAGGGAAAGAAGAGGAAAGAATCATGTTGGAGAGGAGAAGAGAGTATGCTTTGCTAGGGCAAGGAAGTTTGAACCCTTGGGAGATATTTTTGACCTGTCATCTGCTGGATAAGTTTCGTATCCCCTTAAACTCCTATTCTACATTAATTTCTCTTAGTTTAGGTTATAGAAAAATTGAATTAGAGAGTTTTAAGGGGTTGTTTTCTTACCCTTTTGTAATAAAAAGACTCTTTGAAGTTGAATTAATGTTTTGTGATTGGTTTGGAAGTTAACAACTAAGCTTTGAAACTATAAGTTTAATTTAGTCTAAATTTATAAATTAGAAAGGATGAAAGTTGGACAAGAAGTTTGTTGGGGTTAATAAGAGTGATAAGATGGTGTAATAGGATGATAAGAGCCTAAGATGATTAATTGTGATATTTTTAGTTAATTTGATAAATTGACATATAATGCTAATTTATGTGTATTACCGTGAACTTGTATGTTGACCAAATGAAAGGAATCTGAGAAAGACTTTAGTGCCATGGACAACCTTTCTAAATATAGAAGGGTTGATGTAATTGAATAATTTATTATATCTATTAATTAGTTTAATTTTTTATAAGTGAATGTGGTACTATAATCTATGGTTTTATATTTGGTATGTTTTGCAATTTACATGTTTTGGCATTCAAATAAGTTTGAAAGTATTTACTTATGGTTTTAAAAGGAAATTATAATGCATGTGTTGGGGGGGGGACAAGTAAATGTGATTATATGTGTGTAAAAGTGGCATGATCATATTAGAGGGTGAGAGTTTACCTTGAGCGTGTGGAGATGTGTGCAACAAAATTTATATGGTTAGGCTATCACCATAGGACATCCAATGCAACATCATATTTGGGACTATTATCATGGGACATTAGGACAGTCTAGCAACTCTCTGATGCTTGAAAGAGGGTGGTTAGAAGTCAACAATACCTCTATCATGTGTGTGTGAGGGGGAATGCATAGTGTAGAAGTGGGAAATCATTAAGAGTGTGTGTGTGTGTGTGTGAGTTTAGTGATTGCAAAAGCAAAATAAATGGTTTTGATTACTTATTTAGAGTCAATCATGTTAGTAGATATTTTATAAATTATTTTGATTACTGAGATTTTTATTTCACCCATAATTACCATTTTTATAAGACTGGACATCGGGAACTCGAAAGGGAAAGAGTCAGGCTGAGAGTAGTGATGTTACTACTAGCCTACTAGTGAGTGTAATGAACTTGAATTCATTATCTTGTTGTATATAAGTTTCCATAAGAGTTTATAAACATAAATGTCTAATGCACTTGTATGTTTGTGTGAAACTTGGCCCAATATGTGTAATCTTGTCATGGATGTGCCTTTTGTAATCAAGGGCTGAGTTAGGATGTCAAGTGCACCTATATATATAATTGGAATGAAAGTGTGTGAACTTTGGCCAAATGTGGATAATTGTGTGTGAATGTATAATTTTGCCCAAATGTGTGACAAGGATAGTTTAGCAGCTAAACTTGTGTGTATGTGTGATATTGTTGATATACACGAATCAAGTGACAAGTGTTATATTAGATATAGTCAAGGTCTTAAAAGTGTCTAATAGCATGTGGTTTAGAATTGGGACGCTCAAGTGAGTGAATAAGAAAATGATTTAATGGTCATTTTGCATTTAGGTATTCAATTTTCAGATGAAATATCAAATTAAGACAAAAATAATGATATTAGCTAGATTTTGAAATAAGTTTTGTGTGAACATTTGAATTACCCCAATTGGACATCATATATGAAAACAATGCACATTGAAAGTTGGTGTCAGATGTGCTGTTTGATAACAAAAACTGATACGGGCGCCGCGGTGCATGGTGCACATGCCACAACACGTCACAAATGAGAAGTGGTGGCTTTGTACCACATGTCGTGAATATGGCCTAGTTTAGCCTAAAATTGTTGTTTCCTTTTCGTTTTCTTTGTGTGCTTTGTGTATGCAACTTTATGCTTCCATAGGGCATAATGAAAATTTTAAACAATGTAAAATGATTTTACCAAAGATTTTATGTAGGATCCAATTTGTTATGGTTTTCAATTTTAAATCTAAGTGTGTTAACATTGCGTATTGAACCGTAATGTCATGAGGGCATTATAGATATGGGTTATCAGTGGGGTAAAGTTGCACTTTTTTTAAAAGTTTCAAAAGTGATATTGCTTTAAAAAAAGTTTAGAATGCCATGCATTTTTGCAAAAAAAAAAGTATAAGACATTTTTGCATTTTAATCCTTAAAAGAATAATCCATCGTTTATCAAAAGTAGATTTTTGATGGTAATTACAAAGGATTAAGATAAGATTTCAAAACTCAAGAAATTATAAAGAGAGATGTTGTCTGGTAATCACTTCAGATACATATGTTAAAGACACGCTAAGATGCTAGCCGGAAAAAAAGACACGCTAAGGTACAGATTGCGGTTAGTCACAATGATCCCCACCCGGCCACCTGAGGGAAAAGGGGAGATGTGTTAACGTGCGGGAGGAGGGGAGGCCATTCATTGCATAATGAGATCAATCATTATGGAGGAGTAACAGTGATGCGATTGCCCTTCACTGCAAGAACATATATATACTTCCGGTTTTAAACAGAGAAGAAAATAATTAATTTACACGATTCAAAAAATTAGTTAAATATAATTATTATGTTTGAAATTTAAAAATTTGGACTAAGTTATTCATATAATTAACAAAAAATGGCAGTAAAATTTTATTATATAAATGACAATTTAATTTTTTAAAATTATAATTTCATTGTAGTCTTTAAAGACTTTTGTGTCAATAAATTTTAAATTAAAATTATTATTTTATTCTTATTGAAAATAATAAGTTTCAATCACAATTTTTATTTAAAGAATTATAAATTTTATTCTATGAATGATGAGAGTTGAATAATATATACAACCTATCAAATATAATTTTTGTTATTGAAAAATAAGTCTCAGTTACAACTTTTATTTAAGGAATAACAACTTTTATTCTATAAATTATAAGAGTTAAATAAAAAACTTTAACTTATCAAGTGTAATTTCAATTATTGAAAAAGAAGTTTTTAAAATAATTAACCACATTCACAATTTTTATTTAAACAATTATAATTTTTATTTAAAAAATCATAAGAATTAAATAAAAAATTATAATTTATTAATAAAAATGAAATGATTTTTTTAATTTAAAATTTATTAATACAAGATTTCTTAAGACTTAATTGAAATTATAATACTGAATTATTATCTATATAAATTGACGGTTTTTATTGTCACTTTCCCTTAATATCAAATGCATGACGGGGTTCGGTTGATAACAGCGGTTCACGCTGCAGGCTGGAATTAGTGTTACCCAAGGTGGTATTGTGGTAATACCCGTGAAAAGAACCGTCGTCCTGAACTTCTACTTCCTTCTTCCACAACGATCGAAATACTGTTCACAAATGTTTCATGCTTCTCGACTCGTAACTAGTTTGTTGATCGATAACGGGCGAAAACCTGAGATCTCCACTTCATTTGGTTTACATGGAGTTCAGACCCCGCACTTACGATGCCGATCACGAGTCTCATGTGCTTCCGCGTGTTCCTGCTGATAGCCATCCTTTAGCAGCTCCATCATTTTCTGACGTCCAGGTACTTTTACCCCACTATTTCCCCCCTTTTTCTTGATTTGATTAACAATAGCCTTAGATTTGTTGCTTAAAATTTTATGTGATTTTATATTAGATTGGTATTCAATTAAGCCCTTCGGACTCACACTACCTATTAAATTTGATTACTTGCCTGTTTCGTTAGGTTCTCACTTGTATGAACTTGAATTAATACAAGCCAGATATTGTACATTAGACAATTTCATTCATCAGCTTAGTAGAGAAAATATGAAAGAGAAGAATTATCATCTATTAGCTTGGAAATTTGGAATGTGAATTTTAATTTAAGAAAACCCTTATTCATCTCCATTTAGTCCTGTTTTTTAACATATTAAGATGGACTGACTATCATGACATACGTAATTTGAAGAGTTACTTTATTTTCTATTATGTCTAATGAGTATTCAACATGTTCCAGACACAGATATGGCTCTGTCTATACTTGTAGTCAATATGTAAGGTCAAGGGCGTTATATTTAGGATTTAAAAAATCTGTTTGTTCTGTCTTAGGATATGCTAGCAGTTATGTTATTTATCAGATGAAGCAATATAATAAACAAAAGAGATTAAAACTTTATAAACCAATATGACTAATTATAGAAGTCCAGACCTATATTGTATGTCTTTGAGGTTCAAAAATCAAAGTCATGCTTTGATAGCATATGGAGACTTGATAATGGGCTCTGAAAGCTTGGACAAGGAGATGAGGTGAGGAAGAGATTTTAGTGTTAGCTGTACGTTAATTTTCTTTCTTCCTTATAGACTTCATTATGGAGACTTGTTAAATCGGTTGACGATGACGACGATAATTAAGTAGGTGTGCATGAGTTCTATAGTAGTGGCTGCAATGTTCTCTTTGAAAAAGTGGCGATTAATCTCTATATGCTTGGTTTTATCATGTTGGACAAGGATTTTTAGATACCTCAACACCCCATAAGCTGCTTTAAATTTTTAAATATTTTGTATCATACACTTGTGGTAATTTTCTTATATTAGGTTGATACAATTGATCTTGGGAATCATGAATTTCTTGATCCACTGGGAGGATTGGATGGAGATGCAAAGGCGATTCCATTTGATCATGAAATTCCTAGTGAAGCTGCTAGTCATCCACCAACAAAGGAATGGACCTCTTTTAGGAGATTACTACAGAAAAGATTCCCAGTTTCCAAAGTGATCTCTCTTTCTTCTGTAAGTTTTATGGCCTTAATTCTGTGTTAAGTCCAAACATGATGCTGTAATGTCCAATGGCTAAGGGCAAATGGAGTATTTGTGATGCGAAGGAAGCATGCTTTGTGACGACACAAAACTTTCCATTTTGACGTTTTACACTCTCTTTTTGTAGAAATCATATTTATTGTAGATTATTGTGTAATTAAGATAAATAGTCAACACTTTGGATATTGCTAAGGGATTAAGCTGATTTTAGGGTATTAGACATTGGTTGTATTTTGATTTCTTGCCTCTCAACTGTAAATAAAGTGTTGACCTCTGCACCTGAGTTCCAAGATGGAATGATCAACATCTATTCACTCGCTTGAGGTGGAGTGTTGGAGTGCGCTGTTTCCCCCTTAGAATAGATAGATTAGGGTTTTATTATTTAATTCCTTTTGTTTTTGAATCGGCCGAGTATTTCAGCCTTCATCAGAATAATTCTGTTATTATTATCTTTTCATTTATCTCCATGATTTCAAGAAGATTATAGGAAGTAGCTGACTTGTGGTTAAACTTAGTTTCTACCTACACTTACCCTAGTCATAATCGAACAAAACTAAGCTATTCTGCTTCCAAAGTCTTCAGATTCTTTCCTAGATTCATCAGTTGAGTTTTGACTGGCAAACCTGTTGGTTGTTGCTATCAACTCTGTTGACCTCTATCACACATCCCGGAGCAACAAATTTGAGTTATACTCCAATTTTACTCAAATGTAAAATAAGTAATAAAAGCCAAACTTTAATCCCTTGTGTCCTGTATCAAAGAGTTGAGCTTCAGTGTGGTGGTGGTGGTTGTTATTTTTGCTGTCATTTACTTATTTATTTATTTATTTTTCCAGTTGTCATGGCATGGGTGTTATTGTGCATTCCACTTTTAATCTCTCATCCTAAGTGTGCGCATCTGTGACTTTGACTTGTATTATGCATGTAGAGGGAAATATTACCTCTAACTTTCATAATTTATACTCCCCCCAGTTCAAAATATAAGTATTTTCTCCCATGCTAACCTTGGTCCAATAAGCAACATAGTATTTGTAAAGATTTTTTTCCCCTCATTTTACCCTTTGTATTGGTTAACCTATAGTCTTGTGTATGTAAATTTATGACCTTTTTCTCACTCATCATAAATTGGAACTAAGGGTAAAAAGGGAAAGAAATATATATTTTCATGAGAATAAGGATTTTATTGGTATGCGGATTATTGTTAAAAGCTGCTTATAGTTTGGGCTGGAGGGAGTAGCTTTCAAAGAAGCCATGAGGAACCTTTTATATATTCCATGTTACTGTTTCTACCATTTACCCTGAATCGTTTAGTTCTTTTGTTGGTTATAATTTTTTAATTAATTTTTTCCCAATAATTTCAGGTTCCTGAGGTTTTGATGAGGAGTGGAAAATGTATGCAGATATCTTTTCCATTGATTTTCCTTTTTTTGTTGTTGTTGTTGTTGTTCTTTCTTTCTCCCAAAATTCTAATGATATGACTGACCTTTTCATTCCTTCATCTCCTGCTGCATTGCTTAAGTGTTTGATAGGACAGCTGATAATGTTCGTTTGCAATCCGTTAATTTTTCAGCTCTTGAGAAATCCTCAACAAATATGCATATGGAGGAACTATATGATCCAAAAAAATTTTCAGATGATGAGGTCAAAGTGATTGCTTGGCAAGAATATGTTTCACGACTACATGAGCTCAAAGATGAAATTGCTCGTTCTTGGGTGGTTGATGATCGTATAACATCCTTAAAGTTATCTGTAAAAGTTAGTTTTGAATTCATTTTTCTTATTTTTTCTTGCCACATTGTACTTTATGTCTGTTATATCTACCTTCATTGTGTTGAAGAGGCGGTTGTTTATTAATACTTCTTCTTCTTCTTCTTTTAACTGAAATGTGCTTCGAAGAGAATGATGCACGCATAGAGAGAGAGAGAGAGATGTGAAATCCTAGATGATAGAGATGGATAAATATCCTAGTGAATTTGAAATTCAATAGGAATTAATGTAAAAAGTTTAAAGTAACTCTAGACTTAACACTCCTTAATTTATGGAGTAAATGCCAACCCATACCCAGCTTGGGTAGATCAATAGTGAACTGAGTTCTTGGGCTGCCTTAGCCAAAACAGATGATGTCTAATTTATGAGTAGACATGTAAGTCAACTCCCTCGATCTATTTTTCCCTTTGTAAAGTGACATTTCAATCACTTTTTTTTTTTTGGGGGGGGGGATTCTATTATGGTGTATTGGTTCGTTGGTGATACTTATTATTGTTTGGTTGTCATGGAATATTGTTATGCATGTTAGGAAAGGAAGTTGTAACTCTTCAAGCAATCTTTTGAGCAAGATTCCTACACAAACTGTAGTTGTCATGGCTTACTTGAGCACTATTTTAGGCTACAACAGATTATTTCTTGCTTCTTTATGTTTTCAAGTTAACCCAAACGTTGGATCAATACCTTGATGCAAACCTCCTATGAGAAACTTAACCCTTCGCATAGGAGTATACTTCTTGGTCTTTGTTACCTTGTTGAAGAGTGCCCCTTTTCATAAAGTCATTTTTGAACACCTTAACACTTTGAGTTATTACTTCAAGGTACTCTAAGTATGTTATTTATGAATTGATCGACCATAGTTGTTGCAAAGCTGATTTCTAGTCATGCTCTGCTATATAAAATGCTTCTTGTCTCCCTTTGAGCCTTCCATGTTAATAAGATACATGGGTGTATCGGTAGGGAAGACCAATACTTGTCACCTTTCTTGCAAGCTTGCTAAACACATTACAATCTCATTAAGCCAGTCCCAGTGAGTATTGACTTCAGATAAGGACCCATAAGTGATTCTTAACCATTTTCTTTATTTGAGGCATAAACTCATCCAAGAGTGTGGCATCACCAACCATGTGGTCAGTTTTGTAGTATTAGAGTCTACAATCCATATATTTGTATACTGACCCTCTCTTTGGATTGGAAGATAAGTTGACGGGAGAGACAACCGAGAAAGAAATCATGAAAGTAATTTTTCCCTTGTTTGGATAGGGAGAAAAAATATGAGAGAAAAAATGGGGTAGAAAAACACACATGGAAGCCGGTGATTTTCTCTCCTAAAATGGAGAGATTTTGGAGAGAAACAATATTCCAAATTTGCCCATCACATCACACAAGTCTCCACAGACCATTCTGCACAGCAGTTCTTTGTCTTCCCTTATCCTGTCCAATTCTTTATCGTCTGGTCAGTGCCATCTTCCTCTTTGCCATTAATGAGTTCCCAAGAATCTAAGCACTAGTTTGTTTTCATTTATTCCTTGGTAAACACTAATGCCAAGTAACAGTATAGGTTGATGCATGAGGGAAATTAACATATTAAATCTGACCATAATTAGGAAATAATGTGTTAATGTCAAATCACTTATTTGTCTGAGATCTATTCTGTTTTCTGCAGGTGGCTAAACTTCTGATGGATACATCAATTTTGCAGTTTTATCCTACACTCTTTGTCCTTGTCACAGATATCATGGACATGCTTGGAGATCTGGTATGGCAAAGGATGAAACAGAAGGCTGAGTTTTCCGCAGATGGAACCTTACTTGGTAACTTACCAGGTATTTCATCAATTTATATTTAATTGTTTTGCAAATTGTTGTTTATTTTATACTGCTCTTGCATCTGACAGAAGTGTGGCAATTTGGATTTTTTTTTTTCCTTTTCGTTTTTGTTTAGCTTCATATGAAGCTAATATTTCTAAGATTGTGTTTGAATTCAACTTACGAGGGCCTTTGGTCTCTATGTAAGACCAGAAAAAGAGTTCCATTGAAGACTGTGAATAAGCGAGTAAGATTTGTTCTGACATACATGACTGAATCAATGTCTTGAATATATACAACAGAAGAATAAAAAATTGCTACAGGCAGTCCTAAAAATCTCTCCCTATAAATAATCAGATTACCTTTTACAAAATCAAATGTTGTAACCTTAAAACAGTTCAGCACCTATCAATTTTGTAATCCTACAATGTTAAGGATTTCTACAATCCTCTCAAGTTGTATTATAGATATCAACCTTGACCAACTTGCCAATTAGTCCTTTGAATGTATGAATCAATAAGCCCTTTATGAGGAGATTAGCCATTTGTTCTCTTGTGGGGATATTGTCATGCACACAATTCCTTTTTCCAGTTATTCCTTGATAAAGTGTTTATCAATCTCTGCAAGTTTAGTTCTATCATGTTGCTTTGGCTTGAGAGATATATTAATAGCTGTTTTGTTGTCACATATATCTTACTAGGAAGTTTTGCATTGACATGTAATTCCTCCAACAGTTTTTGAAGCCATAACCCTTAATATATTTCTGTAGCCAACACTCTAACTTTGCCACCACATTTTGTTTCTTACTTATCAATGTACCTAGGTTTCCCTATACAAAAGTACAATATCCACAAGTTCATCTTCTACCATATGTAAATCAGCCCAATTGGCATATGCAAATACCTCTTCTTGAGTTTGATGTCCCTTTTAAGCACCCTTTTGTGGTGATCCTTTTAAGTACCTAAGGTTATGCAGTTTCTAGATGTGCCTCCTTTAATGAATGCATACGTTGACTGGCAACATTTATTGCAAAGCTTATGTCTTGTCTCGTGAGATAAATAAGCTTTCCCCCTAATTATAGGTAGCTTTCTCCATCAATCGGTTTCCTTGCATTTGAAAATTTACCTCTAGTCTTTATAGAAGTATCACAAGGTTTGCAACTTAACATTCTAATATTAGTTAGGATGTCCAGAGTATATCTCCTCTGAGATACACTAATCCTTTTCTTTGATTTGGCAACTTCCATCCCAAAAATAGCATGTGTCCCAAATCTTTGACTTCTAATCTAGTGGCAAGGGCAGTTTTTAATCTTCCCATTATTGCAATATCATCACTTGTTACTATAATGTCATCAATGTTTGCTGTGAGAATAGTTTTCTTCTCTCCTCTGTGGTTGGGAAACTAGTGGAAGATTATAATTTGGAAAGAAGAGAGATAGAGGGAAAGAAGAGAGAGAAATAGAGGAGAGAAGAAAGATAGAGAGAGAAGAGAAGAACAGAAGCTAGAGAGAGATTTTGAGAATGCACAATATTTCCTTTTTTGCTATTCCGTGATGTTTACATAGATAACTAGCCTCTTATATAGACCTCTAACACCCATAGTATCACAACTAACTAATGGCTAATCAACCCACAACTACCTAACCAACTCTAATGGCTAGTTTGTTTCAAAATTACAAATACACAACAGAAACATTGTGATATGAGTGACTTTGTTTGTAACCTCATTGTTTTAAGAATTATGCGAATCTTTCAAACCAAGTCCTTTGGGATTTTAAGAATTATGTGAATCTTTCAAACCAAGTCCTTAGGGGTTGCTTGAGACCATATAATGATGGAAGGCTTGGGATAACTTGGTGTGTTTTCTAGGAAAGTGATATCTATTCTTACAAAAGAGTGTGAGGAATTGGAATTATAACAGTTGTATTCCTTCAAACAGGGGGAATATCCTACAAAAATATATTTAGTAGCACAAGGCTCAAATTTCCCTTCATGGTAACTTGAACAAAGGCAGTACATCTGAATATTTTGAGGGGAATGTCACTATATATTCAGATGGTTGTGTAAGTTTCTTGAAGTTTCTTGACGAGCATGGCAAATAGGCATCATATATATGAGATAAGTGGCAGATAGAATGGCATCACCCCAATAATAGTGTGGTATATTAGATGAGTACGCATATTTCTTCACTTAGCAACTTCTTTTATTTGGGTGTATTGCTACAAGTGCTTTGTTGTATAATTTCTTGTTTAGTCAGAAAGGAATTCAAGGTGTGATTAAAGTACCTCATGCCATTTTCACAATTTTTTTTTTGCCATTATCAATACGTAATATTTCAATGTTGGCATTGAATTGAGTTTTAATCATGGCATGGAACAATGAGAACACCTACAGAACCTTAGATGTGTTTGTCAGTGGATACACTCAACATAAGCAAGTGGGGTCATTAATGAAAGAGATAAACCATTTTTTGGAGGTTCTATTTGGAGTACATGATGATCCTTGCATGTCACTATGCGTGAAAGTGGATGGTCTGGTTAGTTTGTACTCAAATTTAGGTCAAGCATTTTGATGGTACTTGGTAATTCGTAGCTTTCATAGTGATGATCAACAGAACTTTTGTTCAAGCATAAATTTGGAAACAAACAACACAAATGTTTGAAATTTGGATGACCCATCCTCACGTGCTTCATTATTTGTTGGAAGAGAAAAAAAATTACTAGTGATACTATAGCTTGAACTACCCACTCTGATGTTTTCCATATGATAGATCCAATCATATTACATAGCATTGCCAATCACCATCTTTAGTGAATTGATTGACAAAAAAGATTACTAGCATGTTTTGGAACATCAAGGGCATATTTTAAAATTATAGAATCAAGACTTCTAATATTTTCTTTACCAACAATAGGGGCCAAGGTTCCATATTCAATTTAATTTTCATGTTACTAGCACAATGAGAATATAAAATAAATAGATCATGAGAGTTAGTCATGCGATCATAGGCCCCAAAATCAACTATCTATGGTATACAAGTTTCTGAAGTTTTTAGAGCATGAAGAAAATTACCTTCATGAGCCAATGAGGCAGTGGGAGTATGCTTTTGCAATTGGCCAAAGGATTGCACATTTGATAGCCTTTCTAAAATTTTGCTCAAATGATCATGGCTGGTTTCTAATGGGTTTTGCTATCCTCCCTTTTTTTCCCTTTGTATTTTGCTTATTAGTGGCATGATAACTTTGACCTTTGGAATATTTTCAGGGTTTCCAAATAGCAGGTTTTTCATGTAGATCCCATCAAGTATCTTTAGTGTGCCTTGTATCCTTGCAATGGTTACAAAAAGGTTCCCTTTTTTTTTTTTAGCTGCTTTCCATGAGACTTAGTGGTTGAGGCTTTGTAAACGTGGCTGAAGCCTTGGCTATAGAATACATTTCTTCTTTCATCATAACTTTCTTGCTAGCCTCTTGATGTCTTACTTTAGCAAATGCTTCTTGAGAGCATGGAAAAGGAATTTGAGCAAGTATCTTGCTTTAGACATCACTTACATTTTTATCAAGTCCATGCAAGAAATTCAAATGCTCTCTTTTATATCTTTTTTTAAATAATACACAATCATCATAATATTCCATTCCTACTCACTATAAGCATCTAACTCTCACCAAAGCATTTCAATGTAGTATTCATTTATTTCCCCACATCCTTGCTTCCTGTACCTTCTTTGTAGTGCTCAGATAGAGGAAGCTTTGAGGGAGCCATCATCCAGTGAGCTAGGACATTGCCATCAAGTTCTTTGCTTGCCACTATTGGAGACCTGTGTCATTGTTGAAAAGAGGTTTAGATATCGAGTTTTCCCATGGCCCTTGATGGCAAGTTTCATAGATCTAACCTGCACATGATAGTTCTTCCTAGAGAGTTTCTCTACATTGAAGAAGGAAGAGTTGTCAGTGGCATCACCAGCCATGGATTGGGCTTTGGTTTTCTGTGACCTCTAATGTTGACAAGTTGATGCTGGATGAATTGCCCATCTTGGCTTGGCAAGAATCAGATTCAGGGTCGAACCAGCTTTGATGTTGTGTGAACAAGGGATTATTATATGGATTTCTAAATTCTAATATACAATGCTGAATCAACCTCTCCAATGTACAGCAAAAGAATGATAAAATTACTATGAACAATCCCAGAAATCTCTTCATAGTAATCATCGGATTTCCTTTCCAGTAAAAACAGATATTGTAACAAGAAAACAGCCTAGCACCCATCAATTTGTGATATTGAAAGTTTAGGGATTTCTACAAAGAAATAATGATTAGTAAACACTTTGTTGCTTGTTCGAGCAGGGCAGTTTGTTTTCAGTTTTGGACTATTTATGATGCCATGATGGAGGAGATGTACAAGCATAGGAAAGCTTAGAGGAACCAAGTATGTTTTTTTTTTTTCCTGGTGATGTGACTTTGGGAGTTGTGTAGACCTATAAGAGGAAAACAAGGGGCAAAAATGAAAAATCCAGTGGGTCAAGACTCTTATCCTGAGGGTATTGATTTTATTGAATAGATCATTATGTGTGTAGGGTGGCTGTAGGTTCAGCTGGATTGTAGAGTCACCTTTCTGCTTGCTTAATATTTTGTTATTGTTTGTTTTGGCAATTAGACTATGTTATGACTCAGATTGAAGAGGAGAGTGTGGGTCTCTCAAACACTAGTGGGAGACCCTTTTTTGTGTTGTTGTTTCTTTCTTTGTATCTTGTTGTAATGGGGAATAGGGTTTTGGCTAGAATTAGTGACTTCCCATTTGTAACACTGATTCGGTAATTCATTGTTTTTACCAAAACCTAAGTATTTCCCTTCAATTCTCTTGTTTAGTGTTAATTTATTGTTGTGAACTTGATCAATAGAACCAAGCTCTATCATTTGGTATTGGAGTGGTATGAACCCTAAAGGTATTTGTGGAAAGGAGTAATGACAAAGGAAGTGCATTATGCTGATCCAAATGTGCAAGAGTTGAGAGAGATAGTTGGGG